ATCTAATGAGATACATTTTCTAATGTAGGTTAAAGTTAAAGAAAAAAAAACTTGTTTAATATTTGTGCATCAACATATATGAGTGATTGTTGAGAGCACTCACAATCTATGATTATTTAAAGATGGATCAACACTGTCCATCGTAACATTAGCACGTGCCACAGTGTGAAGAGGGGCATGGTGGTGTTTTACAAGAGTGCATTTGGAGGTGTAAACAAAGGCAAGCAATGAATAATAAAGGTAATGAAATCCTTCAATAAATTCTCTTCATCTGTACATCACTTCAGACCTCATTAAAAGAATTCACCCAGCTCATAAATCACTTCCTCCCCGGTCTGTTGTCCCGTTATGCGGCCTTGAAGTGCGGCGTGCTGACTGTCGGTGTTCTTGTTGCTGTTTTTCTTTCTATCAGCAGCTGCTTATTCCACTGAAGCTCTCTGCCACTCTGCAGCTGTCGGCTAACAAGAGTTCAGATCTGCTTCCAGCTTTCAGTCACCCACTCGGCCAGTCAGGCTAGCACTTTTGGCTCTGTTTGTCTTCTCCCTTTCTCGATCTATCTTTATGTCATCTCCTTTCACACTTTTTTGTTTTCCCTCTTTGACCCAGTCTTTTGTTCCGACATTTTTCCTCCTTTCCTCCCACAGACACCCTTCGGATATCTCAAATTCTCGCGCTGCTCCCCTCTTTTTTCTGTGCCAGCTAGTCCTATGGGGTCAAACAGTAAATGCCAACAGCAAATGCTACAACAGCCGCGGCCTCGACAAGAAGAAGGAGGAGAGGACATTTTATCCAAAACCAGAATAGTCAACACAATCGGCAGCCGCACTACCAAGTCATCCTTCAGAGGCACATGTGTATGAGTGTGTTTGTAAATGAGATCCATTCAGCAGGTCAAAGTGAGTTTGTCTACAATGGGTCGGACAAGCGTTTGCACAATGACAGCCACGCTTTTAAAATGCTGTGAGGATCTACCAAGAGGTCTCATCTTACTAAGGACAACATTGCATTTGTGTGTATTTATGTATGGCTGTGTAGTGTAGTGTGTTTGGTTACTCATCGCTGACAAACTATCTTCCATGTTACATTTATGAGTATTTTTCTTTGATTTTTTTCAGTTTTAAAGACAGAAACTAAGATACACTGTTCAACTTTTGTTTGATTTTTACACCACATGTAATCCTCCCAATTATCTGGATTTAAGTGATACTACATTAGCTTGTGATCGTACCTGGAAGTCACGAGGTAGAACAAGAAACCTTTTGCTTGTTAGACAAATGTTTTTACGCTTACATTATAGAAACACATAATGTTTTAGATGACCTTGTGTGTCCTCTTCATTTTTATTATAGTGTTATAGGATAGCAACAAAAACATACCAGATATCCCTGAGGGGTTAATGTGTAAAATGTGCAAAATTTCAATAGCGTAGGAGTTAGCGTGTTTGCCTAACACACAAAAGATCTCCAGTTTGCAGCCAGGAGGAAACACAAACCCCAACATTGTGCCGTGGGGATCACAAGCTAATGTAATCCCACTGCTGCTGCCAATCCTGGGTAAATGGGAGATTTGTGTCAGGAAGGGAGTCTGGTGAAAAAGGACTGTGCCAAAACAAAAGTTTTATTAACCTCACAGAAATATCGTAATTAGTTGAACAAGAAAATTGTAATTACCAGAACTAAATCGTAGCACAAACAAAAGCAAAAGTTGAGAAAACTGAAACAGCCAATCAACCAAGTTGCTTACAAGTTATGAGTTTTCTCAACTTTTTCTTTATTTACAGTGAGTATCCGGCATGGCCGACGAGGCTATTTTAGTGAGGGTGTTCTCCTTCTATGTGTGAGAACATGTCTTTTATCTGTGCATTGTCAAATGCTGCCCAAGTCCATTTGATTGCCTCTCTAACATGGTATAAATAGCCTAAAGAGCAACAGGGGATTCACCATCTATTATAAGTATCTAAATATCAACAGCTATTAGCCTGCCTGTCTCCCTTTGGCTGCTCGTATCATCCAAAATAGCATTATCCAGCTGTCGGTCAGCCTCCGGCTCAGGCTCATGATGCACAAGCGGCAAATTGGACATATACACTAACTGTATACGGAGGGAAAGAAGGACACTTGAGTTAAATAAATAATTCAGATTGGAAACTGGAAGCAGCTAACCTTGGTCAGTCCAATAGTAACAAAACCGCCTACAATCTGTGCAAAAACTGAAGTGGAGAAATTATAATTTGCCATTTCTCACCCAATAACTTCCCTGGAGCCTGCAATGGTTGCCTGGCCACGGAAACCTGAGTTTGGTGTGGAAAAACTTAACAGGCCGTAAGACCATCTGTCAGTTTCCTGAACTGCTGCACCGACTATAAGCCAAGTCTTATCGGCCAGCTTCAGTGGCTCACTCACTTATGCTCTCCTAACTGAATGGGATGGAAGGAGATAGGTACCATGACCCATGGGTGTTGCATACTTTTCGACATATAATATGCCTTTCCAGTACTACATATATTAAAATGATGAAATTAACTTTTCAGACACAGGGAAACAAAACACCAGATGTGCTAATGCGCTTCAGCATCGTTATCTGCATGCAGCAGCTTTTAAAACGCAGCAGCCTTTTTGAACAATTTGCCCGTTTGAGTTCAACTCTGCTGGGTATGTGTGGGCTCGAGAATTCTCTGTATGAGTGTGTGTGCACCCAGAATTGATTAATTATGCATAAAACTCTCTTTATAACGGCACCTCAGAATTGTGCACTCTGCGAAAACACCGTCTCTGAGGGCTTTGTTGTGTGTCTGTGTGTATAAAAGTCTGATAACTGTAATTATTCAAAACTATAAAGGCGTAGCGCTCCTTCCCCTCCCCAGCCCCCAAATTCTGCTCATGAAAGAGGATGAGAAATCGCAAACAACGAGGGAAAATGTACGCAACTCTAATGCAACACCCGGACTGAGAGCAGAAGAAGAAGAAAAATAGAAAATTCTGGCATAAAAATAGTTTTTCACTCTGCAGCACACATAATACATTTAGATTAGTTTTTTAAATGTGTGGTTGATTTAACAGCCTTTTAAGTATAGTTTACACTTTTTAGTGTCTAGTGCATTGTGTGTGTGTGTGTGTGTGTGTGTGTGTGTGTGTGTGTGACAACAGGCATGGCTGAATGCACTGTCTGGCAAGCCTGAAGAGTCAATAGATGGAAACAATGCCAGACTTGACTAATCAATGAGACCAATCATGAAGAGAGAATGATGATAATCACTTAAACAGATTGGGATCATAATCAATGTGGCCACCCTAATTGTCCTCCATTACACAGCTGGTATTGGCACTCACATTTAGTTGTGCGATCAGCAGTGGACTGAGTCTGTGCGAAGCACTGAACTCAGAGTTTCTGGGCAAACAACAACTTAGTGAAATGGTGACACTTGTGCTGCTTCTGACTTTTGAGTGCTGCTCCAGACAATATAGTGTGGGGCGATAACAGCGGTGTATGTGCTAAAACCACAGTCCTGCTTTTAATGCACTAACCTAATAATCAGCCGAAATGTGTTTGATGAAGACTGATGCACTGTGATCAAAAGTTATATTAGAAATGTCTTCTCATATCTGGATCTCGGTGGATGGACAGTTTCTTCCTAATGTCACAAATTAAGTTAAAGCCTTTGATGCATTCCTGTACCACCGAATGCAATATTTCTACCACTACCAAAGTCCAGGGGTTTAAAATCTGTATGGACAGAAGCACTGAGCTACCTACGCATTACACCTAGAGAAGCTGCTTGGTCATGGAAACCCACGAAGCTCCTGGCGCACAGTTTTTGTGCTGATGTTAATGTCAGAGGAGATTTGGAGCTCTGAGGTTGCAGATTCAGCAGAGCGCTGGTGACGTTTCTGCACTTGGTCAATCCACTCTGTAACCTTAAGTGGTTTACCACTTTGTGGCCGAGTTGCTGTGGCTCATATATGCTTCCACTTTGCAGTAACACCACATACAATAATCATAGAATATTTAGGTGGGAAGGAATTTCACACTGATTTCACACTGATTGCTGCAAGGTGGCTTCCTTTTAAATTGCCTCTTGTAAATTCAGTGAGCTCATTAGGATGACGCATTCTTTCACACATGTTCCTAAATGTAGAATGCATAGCTAGGTGCTTGGTTGTATATACCTGTGTCAAACTGGGAACATCTAGATTTAAAGATTGCACCCACTACTTTTTTTTCTTTTGCCAATTAATATTATGAAAATATAACAACACACACAGTTAGAGATAAGAACCCGAAATAACTCAGTAAGATTAGCTATAAGTCATGCCCACACTGTGTGTGTGTGTGTGTGTGTGTGTGTGTGTGTGATCAGAGAGAGAGAGAGAGAGAGAGTGTGAGAGAGAGAGAGAGAGAGAGAGAGAGAGAGAGAGAGTGATCTGGACACTCGCTCACACTTCCTCCCTTAGTGGGAAGTCATTTCCTGTTGGGATGATTATTTAGGGATTTGGCATAGTCAGCATGTGTGTGTGTGTGTGTGTGTGTGTGTGCGTGGTGGGCAGGCCTGCAGTTGATGTCACGTGTTCGTGTTCATGTCCCATAAACTGCAGCCTGTTTTATGTTCGCATATTACAACGAATCTCATCTAATTCACTCTCTTTTTGATCTTTCCACCTTTTTATAAATATTTCCTTCTAATATTACTTTCTCTACTCCCTCGCTCTCTCTCGTCCTCCCTTGTGTGTGTACATATCTGTATTGCCATCATTGTTTTCCCTCATGTTGTGCCTCATTCAACTTTACTCAGGCAGAAAATCATAGCCCATACACAGAAACACGCACACACACAGTTCGCCATTCCAGAGAAAACCAAGGAAACCACTTCGTCTCCTCCCTACCTTACACACCCAGCCGCCTCTCACACAAACACAGTTAATAAACAGTTATTTAAAAGAAAACAAGAATTCATGAACATTAGTATTTTATTGGCTTTCCTTGCATCCTATAATGAGACTGACCTGTTTGACTCGGTCCGGGTTGACGGTGGTCTGCGGCTGCAGGATGCTCACCGGCTCTGTCTTCTGAGTGCTCTGAGGCATCTCCCTCACCTTCTCAGCGATGAAGTCATGGACACCATTCAGTGCCTCCACAGTCCCCTGGATCAGACACACACGCTCTGTTGTGCCTACACAAACACACACAAACACACACACGGATGGGTCAGTGTGTGAGCTTAAACTGGTGGCTAGTGGTATCGTGATCATCATTTCAAGCAAAGATAAATAATAATCATCACTTGTCACGATATGAAACCATTCAGATGAGTACTTTTAATCTCTTGAGTACTTTTATGAATCAGCGTGCTGTGCAAGCCTGTAAAGCAGGGTGGCAGCAGCACACCACAGCTGAGCGCTACTGCAAGAAACATGCAGAAGAAGACGGCAATCCTTATAATTTAGTCAGCAGTTATTTCTATCAATGTGATTCCTATATTTACAAGATCTTTTTGAAATTATGACTGACTGTATCCCAGCTTTTTTCTCAGCATTTCAGAGAGGTTTCTGCAGCTTGGTGGGAAAGCACAGAGAGCAGGTAGAGGTTTGATGTAACGCAGCTCTCTCAGTTTAACTTGAACGTTCAGAATTTTCTGTTTTCATCTTCTTTATGCTGCTGAATAGAAATAAAACCAGCCATGGCACATGCTTCTATTCAAAAAATAACAACTGTGAGATAAGAAAAGATCGCAGGAAACTGTAATGATCCCCACTGGGAAATAACACAGCAGCAGCGGGAAATAGCAACAAAGAGAGAGAGGGGGTGAAAACACCAACTATCAAGAAATAGAACAAAAGATCGAAGTGGAGAAAAATGAACTTTGTATAGGTGCTGTTAAAAAACACAACAGAAAACCTAATTACAAACTTGTAATTACACAAATAACAAATGAAAGTATTGATTTAATACATCGTGCGTTTGTATATTTGCCAGGGAGAGAGAAAGCTGTTCGGAGTCAAAGCTAATTAGCCGCAGTGTCCACGAAAGCTCGTAAAACATGATATTCTTCACCTCACAGAAAACATCAGGGTTCATATTTCCTCTCTCCTTCTTCTGAACATATCGGCATCGCTCAGTTTATGTCTGTTTCCAGGATTTCGTCCAATCAGGAAATTAATCCCCAGGGCACAAGAAAAAAATCAAACATGCTGTAATAATTTCCAAGCTTCTGCTTCAGTGTGTACACCACATGTGTGTGTGTGTGCATTAAAACTGAGCATAGGCTCCAAATAAGCTGGACAAAGTACATCACGCAAAGCTGTGGATGCACGGGGGATTCGCCCTCCACTACTTCAGCAGGAGAAGAAAATCAAAATGCAGCTTTTAGCTTCAGTTTAATGACGTTTGCATCTGCTAAAGATTAGCTGCAGAAATTGTAATAATATACAAAAAAACCCACTTATATGGCTTTTGACAGAATCGCAAAGCACATCAGTTCAGGATTAATGTCATGGACATTATTACCGTAATGCAATTTTAAAGTGTAAATTAAATTGAAAAGCCTGTACTGAATTACCTCTTCACTGTATTGTTTCTTGATGTAATAAAAGAGGAGTCAATGCGTAAGATTATGATGATTAATAAGACCGAACAAAAAACACAAATTCTATATGACTTTTTCTTCTTTTTTGTAATGAAATCTGATAAAATAATGCAAGCAAAAACTTTTATTAAACTGGAACTCAAGCTCCACGGGGCACAAGATGACCTCATAGCAATGTGCTGGAGGAGCAGAACAATGAAAATCAGATAGGTTTCTGCCTAATGAAAATGCATATAATTGCTATAATACACGCTGTATGCAGAGAGAAGGGCAGACAGACACAGAGGAGAATCTAGGCCAATGCAAAGCCTCTCAGACCGGCTGCACTTTAACAACGCACTGAAACTAAATCTCTTTCTTTCTATCATTTACTATCACTCTCTCCTCTTTTTTCTACTTTTTTGTCCTCACACACACTTTCTTCCTCACTCTCTTCCTCCATCCCTCACTATATCTCCCTTTCTTTATCCCTATTTCTTCACCCTCTCTCATCTCTCTCTTTCCCCCTCCCCCCTTGAGTCCAGTACTTAGTAGGATCTGCTCTTATCTCGGCCCAGCAGCGTGTCATTTAGCTCTTCCTGTCCCTTGCCTCTCCCTGCATTGTTGGACCGTCTCGGTTTGGCCCAGCTTGGCCTTGTGTGGCAGCACTGGAGAGGAGGGATTGTGGGTTTTAAACTGCTATATTTGTGCAAGGGTGTTGGGAACTGATGACATATTGCAGAAGCCGAACAAGAGCTTCTTTAGCCAAGAGAGACTGTTTCAGTGCTTTTAGGATTTTGTTTGTAAAATTCTGCACAAGGAAACATTTCTAAAGGGTGACTATGTTAATTAGTGGACAGCCCTCAGATGAAGAGCTGCACATGCAGGATGAAGAGGTTGTGACAACTGACACTAAAAATAAAACACACAGCACATTACGCATTTGCAGAATTTGGCTACCTGGCCTTGCCGAACCTTTGCAATGCCTGTTAGCTTTACAGCGGTATTACTTCCCATTCCTATTTTTACAGTTTGGTGACAGCAGTGACAAACAGCCTCTGATGACAGCAGCTGAACGCTTCAGTTTGAGCGTGACGACAGGCCAACAAATCAAGCTAAACATTGGCAGTTCTCAGTTGTAGCCTCGCGCTACCGTTGTGTTGGTGAACATTTCTTTCTGCTTTTTAGTGAGTATCAGTGAGCGGAGCGGCATGACCATCGGAGTGTGTGTCTGTGTGTGTACGTGTGTGACGATACTGAGGAAACTGGGCCTCGTCTCTCCCTGACAGCTGGTGCCCTCTGGGTAATCTGGACCCGTCCAATCAGAAGCAAGGATTAGCAGGCCATTGTCTTGGCATGAGTGTGCGAGTGTGGGTTTGTCTTTATGTGTAGATTGTAAATATGGGTACATGCATGTGTGTGTGTGTGTGTGTGAGACTGTAGCAGAAAAGGCCATTCTGTCACTGGAGATCATATTGAAGCTGCCGTACAGCTGTGCTGCACCAACAAAGACCTGCTTAGTCCCATTACAAAAATATTCACACAGAGATCAGTGAATATGCATTTAATACAAAACACATTGTGCTTTTCATTGCAGGCCAAGCGGATCCCAAAGCACTGCTATAATTTCTTGCACACCTTTTTTTCCCAGACTGGAATCCAGAAATAGTTCCTGAGTCATTTTTGTGTTAGCAAAATAAACTTTTTGGTTTTTGTGAGTAATTTCACATAATCAAGTGTGGCACTCTAATGTGTAACAGCACTCTAATCACCATCTTTGCCTAAACATTTTCTGGAAATGAAACTCACATTGATTTTCTTTCCTCACTTTCTAGCATATTGGATTTTAAGAAAAGGATATACGGATTTTTGACTTTTGAGGCAGTGAATCGAGCTGTGAAGCAAACAGGAAGTAGGCTCATATCTCAGCAACTGTTTCATGCATTGACATTAAACTTGGTGCATAATTTGAAGCAATGGGGTTCATTATCACTGTGACACATTACCACTCATGTAAAGTTATTAAATGTATGCATCCAACAGATATGGAAAAATTAGAGCATCCATTTGGAGTTGTGTTATTTGAACAGTTTTTAGTTTTCTTTCTCTTTGGTCTTCAGCTCCTGAGATAAATTTATGTCTTTGTCTTCTGGTTGTTCCACGTTCTTCTCCCAGCCAGTTAATAAATTAGACTGTCAGCAGGTAGTTTGTCTGATGAAAGACTGAGGAGAAACCAAAAGCCGTTCCCACACACTGCTACAGCCCTGAACCACTCTAGACATCACCAGGCAGACGTGCATGAAGAAAGCGTACGTCCGACTCGATCAGATCAGAAATTAACCTGCCAGCTCCCCGCTACAAAGTCTGTATGCTATCCGATTAAGCGTGTGTGAGAATCAGCAGGTAATTGTCTGGTGAATTCACAGTGAGGGAACAGGCATCCTGCGTCCTGGCTCCAGCATGCGCTGCTCGGGCAGCTCCCTCGCCTAAACCAAATTGAGTATCTCCAATAGTGACAGTGTGTGAGAAGTGAACTGGCTCTCGCCTGCTGTGTGCTACACAGCATATGAACAAAGAACAAACATAAGAACAGAAAAGATGATAGAAAGATGATATCCTGACCTTATTTCTCCCAACATTAACCAAAGTTCATGTGCAGACTTTGTGTAATCTAAACTTATGGAGCTTTAAACTTTAAACTGTACACACAGATTTTACCATCTTATCTGGAAGTTGTTATCTCACAAAGCAGGAAGACTGAAAAAAAAATCTATATATATTTAAAAAATTTTAATTTAGCTGCTAAATGAAGAGACACTCGAAAAGGCTGCTGATTATGTTCATGTTTTAAGGGGCCGTTTGTGTTTTAATTATCATGCTCATTCTCGTGTCTCAATGTCTTATTTCCCTGCAGGAAAAGCGCAGACAGTGAGCAACATACAAATGCCAAAAGAGTACCAACATAATAGAATTTATGCATCCCTCAGAGAGCGAGCTCTGTTGGCAGTCAGTTCTACGCCGTTGCAAAAACATCACTATGTGTTTGTGTGTGTGTCTTTGTATATGACTTGAGCATTTCCCCTTGTAAAACGAACTTCATCATTTGACATTTTAACGGCTGGAAGCTTTTTCCAGACTTGACATGCTGCAGCTGCTGAAGTAATATCTGTTCAATGTTGTTAAACCTTCTGTGTTTACATAATGTTTTAAGGGCATTTCTTAGACACAGAACACAGGGCAGGAAGAAAGACAATAAAGTCCTTATTTATAGCATTGCTATTCACGAGTGTGGACATAGTGAAGTTGTGCTTTCTTACTATGGTTTAAAAACTGCAGGTGCTTTCATGCGGTGTTGTCAGGCCTTGCTGGTAACGTTTTTCACATTGCTGCACGGATAATTGAAACAAGAGCAGTAAAAAGAAACACCAGTTACACTTACAGCAACAACAGCTAGGCAGCACCACTGAAATGCATTTCATAATGAGATAATGTCCCCAAGTTTTGGAAAACGTGAGTGCAAAGATGACAAAAATCAAACATTTATGATTTATGAACAGAGCACAAATAAATAGACCGGAGCAAACTACAAAGGAGTTACAGCCTACGAA